ACTGGAGTAAGATATGATTTGTGGAAATATGTTTTCTATTTAGAACTGAGAAATGCACACACCGAAATGGCCGAAATGGTAACAAAGAAATTCAATTGTAATTAACAATAAAGATGAATGGACAACAAAGTCTAATTGATTTTGGGCTGTAGCTGTCAGTAGCTTAAATGTCCATAATCAAAAATACGGGCATTGAGTAGACGGTTTATTCATCCTGTCTCGAGATTAGGCGAAATGTCTAGAATACAGTGCACGAACCTATCGATTGAGAAACCTTGTGACTAGCACAGATAGGGTCCTCCATGTAGCACCCAAGCTTACACAAACGAAGGTTGGATAAGCACATACACAAAGACAGGAGGATTGAATTACCTCCGTTTGGGAGTGTGTATCCTTTTTCGAGTTGGTCAGGTTACCTCTTCTTAGGGTTGGAGGGATTTGTGAATTACGGCATTCATACCACTGATGGAAATGAATGCCAAAGTTTTCAATATCGTCGTTTTAATTCCTAATTATCGGATTCGCATTTCTTCCGACTGTTTAGTGTTTCTGTATCTGCAAAATGACATTCATATCACTCATTATTTCAAAAAAATAATTATGGAGTCGTTATGGTATATATTTTGCCCTTTAAGCCTAAGATTGCTAATGGGATTTTGACACAGGGATGGGCAGATCTAACTACAGGCAAGTAAAATGTGAAGTTCGAATTCTAAGTTGTCTAATCTTATCTTCTTATCTTTTACTTCAGAAGTGAAACAAGAGACATCATTCGATCGAGATTTCCTGGTTTGAACTAGATGTCCACTTTCTTCTGCAGTTAACCAAAATGTAATTAAAAACTGGTATGGTAGAATCCCAGTACTTACATAAAGTTGTCATTTTTTTCGAATGAATGCACTAAAAATATAAAAAAATGTGTTGTAATATTCATAGAAAGCGATTGTGATAGCAAAATCCATTATGCCAGAGGGATAACCTTTCAGGAAAAAGAAAGAAAATAGACGAATAAGGGAATCTAAGATACTTAAAAATTAAGTTAACATCCCGCCTGTGTTAAAAACTGACCAATTAGTATCTTATTTGAGGAGTTGATAATTGCTTTCTTGATAGCTCTTTAATTCAATAGCATGAGTTGTTTCTGGACAAAGAAATGAGCCAAATGAAGCTCAAGAATCCGTTAGTCATATCTCATCCAGCACTGCGTATCAATAAAAACGTGAAATGTAGCGCATCTCTAATTAAAGTTTGTCTAGACCGCGTAGTACTTTGTGACTTTCCAAAATAAGGAGAGTTAAACGAAGTGAATAAGTGCATTATTTAGGCACATTTGAAGGTCTTTGAATGATTAGAGCTCCTAACTACACACAGGAGGGATTCAGCATGATAGGTGAACATACTCATGCTTAACGCGCGTTCGTGAGGATTTCTGCCTATAGAGAAGACCGCATGAGAGAGAGAAGGGAGGCACTTCTTTGCCCACTCAGAAGTTGAGCAGCAGCACGTGCATTGCTGCGCAGACGTGCGTATCAAACGGCCACACAGCTGCTGCCTCAATAATCATCGATCGATATAAGTGCGCCCGTGCTTCCTCTCGTCTGTTACGCTCACGCACTCACGCGTACCTTGTGCCGATGGGAAAAATGTGAGCTTTGGGTGGTCGTTGACTAATTTATTGTCCCTTACACATATACAGCTCAATTCCTAAACAAGAGCATAACACCATTCAGTTAGTCTCTATAAGGGTTACTTTGGGCGTTACAATGGTTGAGCTGAAATTTTACTGAGGGTGGTTAAATATAACCTATCAAAGCAGTAGTTAAATCTTCGTTTTCGGGTGTGGATGATGGCGAAATTCTCCTACGTTTTTAAAAGCCTTGTGAAAAAACCTTGAATCATTTCGGTGAAATCCACAGTAAGGAGATTAGATAAGGCAACTCAGCTTTGAGTTATGTTTACGAGATTGTTAATGGAATATAAACAGCAAACAACTCGTAGTGCAACAAGTCAGCAGGCGAGGAGTAATACTGGAATCAACAATACCTTAAATTCATTAAGGTAAACACATTCAAAAACTCATGTTGGATAGATGAGAGACATCGCAGAACGCCCGAGTCGGTTATTGAATATGCCTCGATGGGATTATGTTCCAGTTACCCAGGTAAATTTGGTGTGAAATGGCATGAGTACCTCGCATTCCTCCACCCTATTTTTCGATCAGATCTAACCAGCATTGATGAACACCTATGGGCACAAACTTCGTGACTTCGGCTTGACGGATGTGTTCGTTAGTCACGAATTCGTACACTTAGTCGACCAAAATTGCACTTAATCGATCTCATGAGATTTAATTGCCGATTTCTCAGGTCAAATTGGGCACATGTTTGTGTAAACTGAGTCACTAAATGGAGTTCACAGAAAATTTTTAACAACTTATCAATTAATATGGGCAGAAAAGTGGAAAAAAAACGAACACGCATGAAGATGACAGAACAGGGAGCAACATTATTATGAAAATACTTACCTCATCTCAAACAAAAAGGTAACTAACTTCTCTAATTTGATCATACTTAAACAATTTCATACTCACAGGACTTTAAAGAGAACTTCAACAAAACTACCATGTACTGAGAAATTGAAAGAATTTTTCCAAGTCATTTCTATAAAATGCATTGATCTTCCTCCTGAAACTTGCCAACTCGAAACCATAATTATTATTTAAAACAGATCGACCAATTCTGTTGCAAACTCAACCTTTGCAGCATGCTAAACTCAATGAGTAGTATATTACTTTTCTTTGTGTGTACTAAGATTTCAAAAATAATCATGGGCAAATTTAACCCTCGGCCAATGGGATATAACTCAGGATTTTGCAGACGGGATTAAGTAGGTTCTCACATTCTAGACTACACACAAAGCCATGCGCTTGAGACGTAAAACCACGACAGTTGAAAACAGCGCTCCACCCCCCCATTCATTCCCTTCGTGATTCAACTCATACCAAACAGCACTTTGTGTGTATGTGTGCTTAAAGTGGACTAGAGAAGGAACCAATCAGATGTAACGGTTTGAGAGATGACGCACAGAACATAAGGTATGTGCATGGGACCTGAGATGCACATCTAGTGGCGCGCATCGATCATTTAGGTACTCAAGCTTCTGGCTGGTTTTTCTCTGTTTGGACATGCTTGGGAAAGACTGCGTGCTTTCAGGAATGGTTTGAAAAAAACAAAGGATCATAGAAAAAGCGAGCGTAGAGAGATTCCCTGAGGGTTGAATAAATATGCCTATCTTGTGAAGAGAGTATAACAGAACTCAGATTAGTTAGTTCCAATAGAATAGTGCAGTGATGAATAAGACCATGATTCATCTGTTCCAAACCCACTAATCTAATGGATTTGAGGTTCTAAGAGGTAGTTGTAAGGGGTAGAATCATTGTGGGCCTCACGCTAGTCGGAGGTAAGCAATGCATTTTACCAATCAGCTCGCCAGGTGCATACTGGTGAGCACCTATCTCGTGGTCTCCAAAATAGGCATATAGGCCACTGCGTGGGCATACTGAAAGAAAATATTTCCCTAACTTATTTTGGCTAAAGAGCATTATTCAATATGATCGGCCATTTAAATCGCTCGATGTAGGCCGATAAGATTCTATCTCGTCTCACCAGCCTAGGCAGACATGCACATTATTGTTATGATGGAAGAGTATTGTTGACAGGGCCTGTCTTAAGGAGGAGTTGGACATGAATATTTGCGTACCGAAACTACAGCGATATCCACCAAAATGTAACAACCTTTTGGATATCACGTTTGTCAAGTGTTAGATTTGCGCCGATGTGTGGCTGTAGACAACGTGTATATCTTACCATGTAAGAGGTCACAAGATGAATACCCATTGCTAGTGGTGTGAATGATCGACCACCCTAATTATGTCGGGTCTCAGGTGAAATGCAATAACGTGACTTAATTGTAAATCTACCCAAGGATATTTCCACAAAAGACCAGTGTTGTGAGTACTACCGAAATTTTTAGTGCTTGACCGTTAGATAATTAGTAAAACCTTAAGAGTTCATATATTTATCAAGCAATTCGAGAATGTCTAAGGCTGGAAATGATTCCATAGGCTCTAGTATCCGTTTGGGAGATCGTCCAATCAAACGCAACCCCCCATCTTCTCCACTATTAACTCGTGAGAGGCATTCTAATTTCTTCAAACTCATTGTCTGAAACCGAGATCAAATCGTCCTTTGCTCAATAAAGTGAGCCTTTACTTACCATTCATAACGAAATGAGCATCCCCTAGAATTTCATCAATGACTGCGAATAAATTCCTTGGCACCCTTTTTTCTCCCCCACTCATATTGAATAGTATTGGTTAACGTGGTTGGACTAGCCGCATTACTAGATGCCCAAGGGTGATAGTCGATCTCATAATCCTCGTCAAAGCATCATGCTTATTGACTATTACGCTGCTCTCCAAAATTGTTAACAGTCCGAAGTTACTTTAGTCCCCAGAGCACTAATCTGACACTGACTAAACCAGCAATTTGATAAAATTAATTCGAAACTGAAAGCACATCGTATTACATCTCATGCCTACACGTGAGCACATATGGTGCTCGCACTCATAGACTAATTGACCCGTGAGCACCACTCAGACGGTGTTCAGCACATATAATTTTCTACCAAAGCCATATGATTGTACAGCTCCCCAAGTTAGGTTAGTAAAACACAAGATCGTGAATGAAAATTGATAATACGTATATTGGTAGGATAACAAAAAAATGAGATCAAAGAGATAATACACACACGCATGGAGGCGTGCCGCTTTAACAGGTTCATCGGAATGTGTCTTGAGGGTTGGAGTAAATGCATTAAAAGTGGGTATAGTGGAATGTAGAGCTTTCTAGTCATGGTCAACATCGTCCAAAACGTTTCTTTCTTCATATTGCACGCAGAATTATGGCGCTAAGAGAGAAATAAATGCAGGAGGTTATCAGTTAGCTACTCTGTTCACTATCATCAGAAGATGTACGCCTAACAGGAGCAGCAGACTGTTTTAATTCTGATCTTCTAAAGTGCTTGAAAGTGGCCTGAGTAGGGGGAGACGGAGATGAAGTAGAAGCCTGATGATTCTCTGGGGACTCTACAGGAGGGTCTTCCATGCTGAAAGTATGCTCAGAATTAGGGGAAGCCTCGCCCTCTTCAGATGCAGTACCTCCCTGTGGGTCAAGGCTCAAAGGAATTGAACGTCCGGAGGCATGAGCTGCTGCAACACGCGTAGTATGAAGGATTGATCTCACATGTCTTTTCTTATCTTCCAATCTAATAAAGGTCTCCTCACAAACCTCGCACTTATATGGTTTCACTCCGGTGTGAAGTCTCTCGTGTCGCTCACGGCAAAACTTTCGATTGAATATTTTACCACAGTAACGACATTTATAGTCTCTATGCGAGGACTCCAAACTAGAACCATTTGAACCTGACAGATTAATAGATGCTGCTGGTCCGTTTCTAGTGATGGGACTAGGTGCCACGGGCGCAAGTTTACCATTTCCTTTCTTTATGGGAATCTGAATTCGAATTCCACTTTGAGAAATTAAGGAGGATGATGGGAGATTTGTATCGTGCACCGCCTTACTTGAATTGACGAGGGATGCTACTTTGGCAGCCTTCTCAGCCTCAGAAGCACGCAACTGGCCACGGATATTCTCTAAAATTCGGTCGATTGTAACATCCTGTGATTCTCTTGATTGGTTAGTTGATTCAGATCTGACCGGTTCTGCAACTTGAGTTGACGTTAGTAAAGGGCTCTCGGGAGGAGCGTTTTGATTGACAATGTTCAAAATAGGCGAGGGCTGATCTGAATTGGAAACAATTTTGGGACAGGAGAGGAGAATAGATCCGGGTAAAGGCCCAGGTGAAATGGTAGGATTACGAGTGAAATTCCCAGTCATTGCAGCAACTGCCGCAGCTAAAGAGTTGATATCAACAGGCAACTGATGAGTAGTTAATGTATCAGTGACAGGTTTTGCATCGGGACTCGGGGCAACAACAGGATTCTCAGAAGTTGCACACGAATCCGGCGAGGAAAATGACGCAGACTTTGAACGAGCTAAACCACGAAGAAGTGCTGTAATTGCTGAAGCATTATTTGTCACATTTACGTTTTTTCCATTCATATTTCCGATTGACAGAATAGTGGCCGGAATACTTGTGATTGAATTTGGGAGGCTACCAATAACAGTAAGAGTTGGCTGAAGAGGGGCATTTGTAGTGATTGGTAAATTGATTGATATTGGAGTTCCAATACTTTGTGAAAGAGAATTACAGCGCATTAAGTTAATATTTCCATTAGAGAGGGAAGTTGGTGCATCACCTAATGCCGAAGGATTGGATGAAGCATCATTCGATTCAGAATACGAAGTTTCCTCAACTTTCTGTTGCGTTTGATTAATAGGTTGCAGGAATTGAGTTGTTTCATTATTTCCTTGAGCTGCAGCAACAGATGCAAAAGCTGCAGCAACAGATTTAGGAATGAGAACATTTTTAGGAGGCTGACCAGGAGTTTCACAAATGGCAGCTAAGAGACCAGATTGATCCGGTGATTGAAGATTTTGTTTAAGCATAAGATCAGCGAATGAAAGAGATCCTTGACTGTTATTCGTCAGCCGCTGAAGTAAATTCTGATCACCACAATTAAGGTTAGTAACAAATGGGTTGACATTAGCAACTTTCTGCGCGTCGAAATTCAATCCCACGCCAACTAAAGAAGACAACAAAGCTTGTAATGAACCAGGCTGAACAGTTACACTAGGTTTTGGCTGTGATTCATCAGATTCATCACGTTTAACCTGTTTAGCTGGAGTGCATGCCTCATCAATTTTATCATCGCCACAGTTGTTAGTTGATTCCAAAGCCTCATTTGTTGGGTCATCATTGCTAACCAATGGCTGTCTTCGCGGTTTACTCGATTTACGCCTTCCACGTCGTTGACCAATTCGAATATTATTTTCACTAATATCTAAAAGAAACGAATTACTAAATGCTTGACTTACCAAGTGATTGGGTCTTTACTGGTAAGCGATCTACACTACTTGAGAGAATCGGTGGTGAAGCAGATGAAGAAGCACATTCCGATAATTTTGTATCTACAGAAAAAGCACTCGCGGATCCATTAGGCGATTCAGTGGGCGAATTTACGCCTCCAGTATTCACCTGACTATCCAGAGAGAAGTTGATTTTCACAAACTTCTCGGAGGAACCGTCAACTGTATACGATATTATTCCTGACACAACCAAGTTTTTGGAAAATGAAATATTTTGTGAAAAAGCATTTTGTAACTGCCATACAAGCGAATTATCGATAGTAGTGCTCTCTTCTAGCACCATCGTATGGGTTACGATAACTAATGTTGATTTTGAAGCACAGTGCGACCTTAACAGTTGTCGACGTCGGTATAAACAAACTGTTTTATTTCCTAATATAAATCACTACACTATGAAATGATTAAACTAATATAAATGATGCATTTTAAAATTAATTTTCATTATTTTATGCGGGCGTTTATGTTATTTGGTGATATAGGCGGAAATATTAAATGATCTTTTATATCTATCTGCTGTCATTTGATAAGGCAATGATTTCAGATTTCAATAGAGAATTTGCATGACTACATTCTGTAATTATTTGTTGACAGTTATTGAGTACTCGAAATAATTTAACAAACAAGCTGATGTATTTAAATAAATGTATATTAGGCATACGATATTTATGTTTTTTTAAAAAAGTGGTTGTTATTACTACATTACAATATAAATAGAAATTACATTATTAGCTTAAATTCTAAAAGTTTAGTAAATATGTAAAGTTTAAGTTAAAAACTCAAACGATGAAAAATAACTTTATTCTTACATCTTTGAATTCACCCAACTTTATCATATGTTGGACTTTCTAAACTTAAATGGCATTTTTTTCCAATAATTAATAGTATTAAGAATTTATATTGCTGCGAGATAAAACAATTGCCGCCCATTTTTTTGGATTAAAATCTCGGATAATTGGTGACTTTTAAAATTCCGGCCTTTTTCATCAACCTCCTTTTAATATAATTTAAACGGATATATATGTATATATTAGAGGGGCATAACTATGAATCTTGAACTATGCGATTGTTTTGATAAGAACAACAATTTGAATTTTAAGTGAAATAAGTGTTTAATGAATTGTAAGAATGTTTATCAATTAAATACATAACGTTGATTTCAGAATGGACTTACTACTCAATTGTAACAGTTCATGTTTTTTCTAAATTACTGAATCAAGTGTTAGGTGAATGAGTACGTATATCGTCCCGGGTGAATGCTCCAATTTATTCTTGTAGTTTTGGTTTATAAATCGAATTGTGCTTATACAAGCACAGCACTAAATATATTTAATATTAATTTAGCAATTGCTCAAAACATTATTTCAAGTAAAGGGGAGGGGTGTGCGATAGAGTTACCTCCACGCTGTGCATCCTGGACAATGTATAATCTTACGGCAAAAATTCTATAAACCGGCAGTTGACTTCTGCCTTCAAAATACCATCACCCCACTGCATGTTATATTCGACCACTTCCACAGTAATCATCTTACCTTTTCTCTGCCTTTGTGTCTGTCTGTCTGTCTCTGTTACATTTGTGAATCACTCTTCTGTTCTCCCTCTTGACTTTTGGTCACTTCGCTGTTCCTCCCATCTGTGAAGCCCGAAGTCAGCTAAATGGGTAATGATAACTATCAAAACGCCTGGCATTTAATATAAATAAACTCCAATTAAAGAAGAAGTTAGTACAATTCATACGTGCCAGGGAAATGCTCATTAAGATCGCATACCACGTAGAGTATGTACTGATCCGAGTATGTCATCTTATACACGCAAATTATTGTAAATTAAAAGAAGACAAAGAAATAACGACTAATCCTTCTATGGATGAAATTTTAGTGGCATATTAAGTAAACTCTAACTTCCTATTTTGGTTTCTTTAGAGAAAAAAATTCATGCACCTTGTTTTAATTCTTGATCTCCGATATCCCTCCTATTCGGAGATGAAACTCAGAAGCCTGTCCCACTTGGAATAAAAACCCGATTCCAAAAAATCGTAACAGGAACTTAAATCTACTGTAGGGCTGCAAATCGTAAGCGTTCGACATAAAATGACCTGTCAATGCTTTCCAGCAAACGGTCATTAGACAAATATCAGAGACAGTCATTCTCAAGATTACTACCTTGCGGAGAACGTTATTTACCTGTTAATTGCCCTTCCGGTGTCATGGCTCCCAGAAAATGAATTTTTAGCTAAAATAATTCCTTTATTCAAGTTTCTCTCCTGCCCACCTCTTACTTCCCCTTTTATTCGATCGAGCTTACTTGCATCACCCATAGACCGATCTTTCAATACAAAATAGTATTTTGTCATTGTGGTTAAGATTGTCTTTTTTCAATGCGGTTTTATCGGGTTATATATGCACTTGGTGCAATTTCTTATAGAATCTAAAGGTTTCCTTGTTTATCACGCAGAGAAAAGCAGTTCATAAAAAATTATGCAATGAAAAATAGAGCCAATTTATTTTTTTAACCTTGATTTAATGCTAAGACATAAACCAATGGAAATTCATTCCCCTCTACAAATTCACACGAAATGCATTAAGGTTAAAATAAATAAATGGTGATACTGTTTATCGATTCGCCTATTAGTCACAGTACCGCAAAACGGTGAGCTTAATCTATTTAACTGATAAATTCTGCGTTAGCTGACAATCCTGGTTAGGGGGCGTTTTAGAGAAGTGCCATATTATCTACGGGTTTTGTATCTATTATTGATTAAAAGCTACCATCTTATTTAATTACGCGGAGCACTTGAGTTACCACTTTGCCAAAGTTAACAATACTAACTGAGCTCTCAGATAAAAAACATAATCTTTGCCAATGCAGTAGATATGTCAAAGATATGTATTATTGTCACCTGAAAAAAAGAAATCTGTCTCTAATCTCTTGCTGGATGTGAAAGATCATAATGAGTGTTGATTGAGTTTGAGAGACTCAGTACTACATTGTCTAACAATATTGACAATAATTAAGTTTAACTGTGATTAGATATCTCTAATTAAGAAAACTAGCTTACCCCAAATCATGACATCATTTGAATCCGTACAAAATTGCTGGGATTATCGAAAAAACGTAACTCTTACCAAATTTTAGTGGCAATAGGGTCGGGCACATAAATAAACTTTAACTGATGAGATTTAATTTGGAATCAACAGCCCACATTACCTACTATATCTGAGAAGGCCTGTTCTTATTAATGTACGTTTCGCTGTGTACCATAAATCCTTTTCTCTTAACCTCCTATCGAAACAATGAAAGCATTCGTGATTGAAACTCCCTTCCAGGATTACCAAGCCATTTTTCACCGATATCTTTTGAAAGGTCAATGTTCTTATAGCACTTGTCTCCCTTCAGAAATAGGCGCAATATGCTAAGATGCCAAATCAAATACCTATTTTTTGCGTCTGAACAAGAGTAAAAGAATCCTTTCCTCTTATACCCATTCATCGTTAATTGGATTTCCATTTTTGTGCCCAGATGTAGAACCTCACAATCGAACTTTAGTCTACTAAGTTAATTATAGCCACTGCACTATCTCTACGATATATTACTGTGGTATCTTATTAAGTGCAACTCTATTTCAGGCCGAAAAGAGCTCTCATCCTAATTTATTGATTAAAATGTTTGTTTTTAAGAAAGTAACAATTTCCCCACCTTTTTTGTTTGAAACCAGAACCAGTGCATGCTTGTCAGTACCCAAGCGTATCATTTGCCTAACTCCTCCGTTTCAATCCACTAATTTTCACCATTTTTTAAATTTAAACAGTCGAGGCCGTTACTTTATGTGCCTTGAAAGCTAACACACTATAGCCTGCCTGCCAAGGTGACATTCATTAAGATGAAACTGGAACAGCCCCTTCTTTCGACTGGATCGAAATAAGTCAACGGCTTTAAACGATATCCCACTTCCCCATAATTACAACCAACCTGCTCCTATTTCGTCCACATTTTAATCTACGCATCTTAACACGTACCACCCCTTGTTTCTCGCATTGGATTAGATTAAACAGCTACTGAAGCCAATTCAACTACAGCTAGGCCCCACTCTCAATCCCGTTTAATAGTAAAATACGTCGAAGATTCCATGAGATCAGTTGATAAAACATATAATGGTTCAATTGGGGTAATAGTTCAGCTATGCTCAAGGAGACAGCGCCAATCAGCCAAGGGAATCTCGGGAGATCTCTGACAATTGCCTCAAAAGGTTAGTAATATACACGAAACTCGAACTCTGTTCAGAGCAATTAGACCAATAGAATATACCAGTAATCAACGTAAATTAGTGCGGATGAGAGGTAAAAAAACCCACACGGATAAACTCTAATATTTTAATCATTTTACAGATTTTTACTACAAACTCTGCCCAAAGAGATTGCTGAGCAAGTTTCGACAACAAAAAAACGAAATATAGAAAACCGGTGGTGTCAGTGGTGGGAGAAAATACAAACAAAGGAGAAGTAACAAACATGGAAAACGGTTCTAGGGATATGTGCGTGCAGTCATGAAGATGGCACTCTCACACGAGTTTTTTGGCAATGAAGTAGTTTTTGAGCGATCGGGTTTGCCAGTAGCCCAGGCCAACGAGCATAAGGATTTGGAGAATTCCTACACCGAAGATCTTCCAACTGATAGAATTGGTGGTTTTACGAAATCGTTCCTCACGTTTCTAAAAACAATCGAGGCACAAAAACTATAGACGTAGTTTAGGGCGAGCATTTGATATTCACTGGTGTTTATAGCAATCTTGCAGCAGCAAAACTGACAGGAAACAGAATGGAATATCTCCAGTGTATTTAAATCTGTGTAAGCAACCGCTATATGGAAAGCTATTTTGTGAGAGCTCGATTACTGGCAACGCCGTATTACGGAATTTGAAAGCATCTCTTCCTATACGAGAAGTCAGGATCAAATTTTAAGTAACGGTAATTGAACAATAAATATTCCTATGTAATTTGTATTAAAACCAAATCAAAAGTGATAGGTTCTGGAAAAAAAGCCACTAAATAGAGGGCAGATGGAATATGGGAGAGGTAGCTTCGAAGGAGGTAAAACCAAACTATGAAGTACAACGCTTTTGGAGAAAAAGTACAACACAAGTGTGGTTTTAAAGGCACACAGTGCACAGGTGAAAAGAGAATTTTTTCAACACTGAGACATAAGGAAACACTTAAACACCACAAATCTTAGCATTAATTAGAAAAGAAAATTGTAAAAATACGCAATGACATAAGGTCTACATGGTAATAAAGTTGAACAAGTTAATATATACACGACTTTCAGGATAAATTTGACAATTTCATTAGGAAAAACGGGCGGTAACTACAAAAGTTAACAGATTTAATAGAAACTCAATGGATTAGAAAATTACAACATTGGGGAAGTTCTTACTCAAAATAAGCAGCATTTGTGTTTATTACATCTCCGATCCGGCCCGGGCACAGGAAGATGAATTTACACCCTCCTCATGAAGGATTTCAAAAAGCGCTTTCATTCTGTTGTGAATAATTAAACTTTTGTAATAATAGGCCAGTCTATTGGTACCCTTCTCAACAATGCCCAATGCACACAACATCACACATTCGCTAAGATCTGAGATGGGAAGATCGATAGTCAAGCATTGGGACTGATGTGGGAGTAAAATTTTGCTGACAAACGATTTCACTTTTCTCTGAGGGTCGAATCCTGCTGCTGCCATAAATATAACCTATTATTAGCTACCCTCTTTCATTACCCAACAACAGCAACAAGCAGGCCACGAATTCAATCGAAGCCCCTCTACAACTGTTTCTCCCGGTTTTAGTAATTAATAATGAATTATTTTATATACATTATACCAAATATGTAAAATAAATCACCAAAGGTCAACCATGGCCTGCACTAGGGGATGAAAAGGTCATGATAAGTGATCTACATCCCATTCCCAGTAAAAACTTCGTGTAAAAAGGATGAAATCTTCGTCATGACGACAAAGAAATGCACGCGTTCCTCAACACATCTTTATTATTCCAGGAGAGCTAATGTGGTGACATCCATATCACCATTCTATTCAATTTACCAAAGGACTTCAAGTGTAATTGTCCAATTGAATATAGTTTTAGGTTTCTGCGACAATTCCTTCATACTAGTAACTCTAACACATCAACATCACCAAAATAATCAAGAAAATGTTACACAACCTACAAATTATCTACCTTAATTACAGTTAACTAAGGGAAGGAATAGAAAAAAAGCTTAGATAGTGTTATGATTGATGGAGAAATTAATTTCAAAGGAAACTGATTCCAAAAAATATTGTGAAGTGAATGATATGCAAAATTATGCCCAATTTGTGAACCTCAGAATACACCAACCAATAACTGATCTGTGGTAAACATTGCAAGTAAAGGCTTCAGGTGATACTTGCTGAAGTTAATAGCCTTGACAAACCACTTCGTTCTCAAGAACCATCTGAGGAAAATGAAATAACAAATAGAAAATTATTTAATAGTGAAACTTACTACCATGTAGGCGTGCCATCTTGCGATTAAATCAAGGCTATCCAGAGCTTTTCTAAGTTCTAGCTGGACGCTTGTGTATTTTTCTGACAAACCGATTACGGTGTAGTTGTCTGCTCCAACACTTTGGATGTCAAGATATATTTTCTTCGAAAATTAGCAAACTCAAGGTACCTACCATTCTACTCTTCTTGTTATTGGCAATTTGGGAGGTAGGCGTGACACATATCTTGTGAACACCACTCATTTCACTTGTGAAATGTATATTACCAGCCTCGGAATAATCCTAGAGTGTATTGAATTAATCCAAAAAATATTTACCCGTGATAATATCTGTTCATTAACAGGATCATAAATTTCGACCCGCATCATTGGTGGCTCATTGAAGTCTCTTTTATTTTTGGGATTAATATGTTCAAGTTTATACGAAACTAGAGATAATAAAAAATAAATGTGAGTAAATTACTCCTGGTCAGTACATCTGATGTAACATCACTTTGAAAGCAATTTATTTGAGACTGATAAGCTTTAATGGCAATATACGGATCGCTGCACACAACCGAAAAAAGTAGACATATCAAACTCCAGGTTAGCATAAACATTCCCAGGGAGGGGGTGGAAGAAAATAGGTCGTAGCCTTGGAAATTGAAGTCATGACTAAAGTATCTGTTGTGCAAAACAAAAGCGTTTAAAATAATATCAATACTGTTACTTGTAAAAATAAAAAATAAAATAAAATTTTAATGGAAATAATATTGAGAATAAGTAATAAAACAGTCAAGGACGAATCTTTTATCACGATCTTCACACATCCAAGAGTAATTTCCCAAAATGAAAGTGGCCATTCAAGTAGCAATTATTTTGTGTGACCAAAGACTCTCTTGCGGTATCTTATGCATAAAATGAATCTCATCATACTTTTAAATCAGTAGATAAAACGTTTCATTAACTCTTTAAATTTCGACCAAATCAGCATTTATCACATTGTTTTATATTTAACACTTCTAGGAGATATCGATACGTTGAATATCCGTCAATGTTCTGGGTGAACCATTTCATTTCTGCTTGTGATGCACTTTTTTCCACAGCGAACATTTATAGTGGGTCAAATTTCACCCACAAAGATACTTCACACCATTTGGATTAAAGCAAACATACGTACAATTACACATAAGTTATTTTCTTATGATTCTTAGAGAGCACCAAATACCATAATTTACTCCACGTATGTTAACATTCGTTCTATAATGTAAATAGCAGGGATAACGAGCACTTATACAAGGAAGGTCCAAATAATACAACAACAATAAGGCAAACAATAAATCAAGATGATGAAAAAAATCATATCACTAACATAATAATTATAATTTTCAATCAATTCATGACAGTGTAAGAAGTAGTAGGTGATAGTGAGTTTGATTGTGTCAGTGAGGAAAGGGAAATGTGAGATTAACGGGCAAAATATACATACACGAGGGTCTTAAATTTCGGCGCTGTGTGAAGTGAATGAGAGAAGGCGGCGATATGAAGGTAATGAAAAGTGGGACGGAGATAAAGGCGAAAGAGGATGCATAAATATAAAAATACATATGCACATAAGAGATAAAGTGGGAAACAATCCAAAATGCTTGCATAATCACCGACGCAGGAGGACAAAAGAGATAGTTATAAGGAGTAGAGAGGGCAAAAGCGTCGCTGATACAGAGGTAGTAGTGGCGCGCGGATTGATCGGTCCAGGATAATGTTGCTCTACTTCACCAGACTCAGGTACCCATATCTGATCGGGAATGTCCAATTTCCCCACCTCTCCCACAACCAGACCCACACCGACAGAGTCGCTGCCTCCAGATATAACTGGGGGCTGCTGCTCCTCTGTGGGAGGTTTTACTCGGTGGTCATCCTTCCAAGAGCCTGTTCTATGATCAATAGATGGAGGCTCATCGCCGGAGCCCTCTGTGTCCCAGGGATTGACTGTTGGATTTGGAAACTGATCAAGCCATCCTGGTGGTGTTACCTCTTTTGGCAAGTCAGTATTAAATGAATATACATCTGTAGGTTCATACCCGGAGTTCTGAAATTTGTAAGAGGAATAAAGGTAAAAGGTGCTAAAGCCCCGTATGAAAAGTTCTCAAAGAGTATTGTGTATACTATTCATGTATACTATTCATTAGATTGACATATTGTTTACTATTAGCCAATACATAACAACTCAAGTGGTTTGTTAAAAGAAACTTTGTGACATGTGACCTAGCTAGTACTTAAGTAGCTCAAACAGTTCAGGTCTTAATCAAGGTAATAAAAAAGCTGAAAAGGGCATAAAATGTTTAGTACACAGCAGTATAAGTAATCTGATAGTACCAGAATGACAAAATCATCCCAATAAACAAAATTTAAATAACCATGGTACAATATAGAATTTTCAAACCCAAATAGACAAGATTAGAGCTGCAACTGACTTCAACTAGCTGCTGAAAGTCTTCATCATCCGCCACGCCATTTCCATTAAAACCATTCGTCTCACGATAAACAGGTGTCACTGGGTGCGTGGGAAAAGGAGCATACGTAGTGGGAGCGCCTGAAGCCCCAAAGGGATTTCCATAGAGACCTGATACGTCTCCATGTCCAGGGTATCCGCTTCCGAGCTCGTCACCACCACCACCCTCTGTGTCCAGGACGAACCCCCCGCCTAGACCCCCCATTGAAATAGGAGGTGGAGAGGCCTGGCCACCCCAAGCTATCGGTGACTGTAATAAAGGGAAGTAAGAAAATATTCAATACTAAATAGTAAGTAATGTCATCAATTAATTTGTTAGCAATATTTCTCCAATTTATTTAATTATATACTTATGGAACTCATCAGAGACTATTGATTACAAGTGCAAGTAAATACACGTGTTAACCATTCTCCTTGACTGGAGGATAAGAAAACGATTAGATACTAACCAATGGGCAACATCCAACTCAGACCTAAAAGTTGCGTCTGGGCAAAGACGAATGGCGATTGGGTAATTATATATGAACAAATTCAACAAACACTCATAGGCCAACAAACCAAACTAGTACCTTTATAACCAGTAAGAAAAGACAAAAGACACATGCGGAGTGGGATAATGAGTGTAATGTGCTTCAGATATACTCACTTATTGAGTGCTTAGAGATTAGAAAGAATTGTGACAAGAAAGCCACTTCACCTCAAATTTGTGCCTTTCAATACATTTTGATCCATCCATCCACTTCTCATTCGCTTACAGATCGTCATTATTGGGTAAGCATAATGCCAGTCTAAGGATTAATACACATCTGCATTTAAGCAATTGTAAGTTCACGAAATGAAAGAACAGTAACCATTAAGTCACTAATCCTTTGAATATGCATAGATATCGGTAGTCGAAGTGGTCACTTTTTAGTTATTTGGGTCAGTTATAACTATAATATAGCAGTTTGTAAGAAATCCCATTATTTGAAGCCAAAATTGATGATAACGATTTAAATTTTGCCAATGTGTATATATAACGCCAACTAACTGCAAGTGGATGTCACCGCAAATTAGGGTGGAAGGCAGCGCTGAATTAGAGAAATTAAGAATACTCTCTGTTACAGGCTATGTGAGGGTAAGTGGGACAATGTTTTTAATTTATTTAAAGTTTAAGTTCTTTTAGCACGGGCATAGTTACCTAAAGAGATTCCTCCTAATAGTAGTATATATATACTTTCGAAATCCGTTTCCCACTTGTCTGGTGACTCCCTCTCGTAAACGTGAACAACAATTTAACAAGAAATATTGTTCTTATGCATATTAATACAACAAAAATTGTTCTATTTTTTAGTAATGGTGAGTAACTGACATAGACTAATAGTATGTCCCAAACTGCAAACTACTTTGGGACTTCTTTAGTCTACACTTCAAGCATACTACTTGCAATCAATGCAATACCTGGCAGATCAACATTGTGTACAATGGAAGAGCAAAAATATTCCAAGTCAGTGGGTGCTGCTTTAGTTTTAATCAGGCCTGAATACAAAGAGGAGGATAAGAAAAGATTGTCATCAAAGGTTGGCTACCTCCAGATAGATAAGACACCTAATTTTAGTCGACACCTTTGCTGAATGCTTGCAATGCCACACAAAAGAGTCAAATAAGAATCTTAATTTAGGTAGTTCATGCGCTTCAAAGTACTTTATTTAGGAGGTGACAAGTGAATGTTGACATGTGAGCACGAGATTTATGGGAGCATAGTTCATGCAATGCTGTTGAATTCTAGTCATTAAGTTTATTGATATTGTCCCGTCAAATAACTCAGAAATGGATTTGGAGAATGAGTAATGAAGTGAATTCCATCGTAATATTATTACTATCGAAGTAGGACATCGAGACACACTAGGCCCAAATGTACACAATTTAAAGAAACTACAATTCAAATGAAGTTTGGGCATTTTGACAGAATGAATTTAATTAACTCCTCACATCGAATTTGCTGCTCTGAAGTTGGAATGCCAGAACTTGCGCCCCCTAGACTCTAGAATACGTTTACATCCACACTGTTTCCATTGGCTGTAGAAACCAAATCTCGCCGAGTGCGCCCCTTCAAATGGCCAAGAGCGATTGGTTAATGAATTTTATGCTGTACTAGTGTACTCCAAAGAGCGCACTCAAGGCAAGACAATTTTATATTCATTTCACTCAACCAAATTTCTCTAATTTTACAGAATTGTCGTTCAAAAAAATCTTACCAAGTCACTATTGAATCAATTGTCTAAAGTGTAAGACTTTCCCCTCATTAAACCTAACTTTTTCATTCATCAGATTTTAATTTGGCTTATTTCAGGTCAGCACAAATATTCTCTATTTACAAAATTTGTATTTCAAACTGGCTATTTTCGAAGACCTTCTCTTGTGTTTAATTTCATTTAAGGACGAATTACCATGTTGCGATATCACATAAAATCAATTAATCACAATTAATTTCTCACTTCCCTAGATTCAATGAAAATCTGGCTTGAAATCAAAATTGGTCTCAAAGTCAAAATAAAACTGGACTCTGAAAGTAGGGCAAAAAATAGCAAGCAAAACAAAAAAAAGATGAAATGAAGTCATTTGGGGAATACAAATTCCAATTAAGTTCAGCCTTCCAGTAATTTGCGAAAAACTAACGCAAAATTGAGAAAAAAGCAGCGGTACCACTAAACACTAAGACACCTTTTATAAATCAGCATTCGCAATTAACTTCCTCCGTCATAATTTCAAAGAGTAGAAGGCGCATTTGATTATGAATGACATTTTATCATCAAAAAACATTCCCGTATTCCCCTGCTTATTATATTCAGGTAACAGTTACCCCGCGATCGATAAGATATCTCAATTGAAACATCATACAGAAATTACTAAAAAAATAATATTAAATGAGAATAAAAACAATATTTCAACTTCAACCTAGGATAATACGAAGAGCCGAATTAAGACAACTTGTAGGAAAAGTTGATGGCGAGCGAATCAATTTTTTGACGACAAACTTACTTGACCCGAACCATCAGAAGTGAAGAGATAACTTCGTAGAGCTTCTTCATCTGAATTTACAGGCATTTCATTTTTCCCAACTTTGAGAACGACGGCAAGAGGATCCATGAGCGGAATTGCCTCAGGGTCACTAATGATCGCTCTAGCTACATGCTGTAATGTATTCACCGCTTTCTTCATTTCTGTATCCTTCTGACGAAGAGTGGGATCAGCGATTGATGTTAGATAACCTTGGCGACTTTTGGGTCTCCTTGAAGACCTATAGGAAGACAAATATTACAAGTTCGGTTGAACAAACGGCAGCCGATTTATAGCTTAAAAGCTATTAACTTATTCTCAATTAGCCATATGAAGTCTTTACTGAATAAATCTGTCAGATTACTGTTCCCATCCTTTGGATACTTGTAACTTACGGGCCCTAGATACTCCAGTACCTTAGTCTACATATCCTATACATAAGAGATAATTTAATCAAGGCACGAAAGAAATCTTAGATGGAATCGTTTCAAGATAGCTGAATAGGCCGACATAGAGAGAACCCGAAAAACCGTATGGATTAGTGAAATCCATTCTGAGATGAAGATGTTTATCAAGATAAGAACATTAAAATAACTATGATGAAATCGTAGCAAATAAGAGGCAGTGAAGAGGATTTACAACATCTAGGAACTAAAAAATCGTACACCTCCTTGAGAGAATATTATTACTAACGGTAACTCATTATTTAAGCAAAGACTGTTAGTAATAGGACTATCAATAGGTCTAAAGACCACAAATGGAGGCGATAGGTGGGGATGAGATGCATCTCAATGTCTTTCAGATGGCAATCTTCATTTCCCCACTACCCAAGCCCCTGAAAATCATAATGAGTTTGTAAAAATCGTCGTCCGACAAAGGCGAAGGCAAATATGGGAAAAGTAGAACATCTTCGATGAGGCAGAGGCAGTCAAGGGTGATGTGAGGCCTTTCTCAATTTTTTTTTTGAAAGAGAGGCCTATATTTGGTTATTAGGTCTGGATAACGAAAGAGGGTAGCTAATAATGTTCCAAATTTATGGCGGCAACAGGATCTTAAAAAAATTTACTATTGAGTGTGCCATTGGCTACTATCGAGAAGGGCACTGATCGCCTGGTCATTACTACAAAAGCCCAGTTGGACAATTAGGAAGACGAAAACTCAAACAGATAGTGGTTGTAATAAGCCCTAATGATGCTTATTTTGAGTAAAGACTCCCCCAATGGTTTCCTGGACCACTAAGTTGCTCTTAAATCTGTCAACTTTTTGCAGTTGTTGACCACTTTTTCCTTTTCCTGATGAAATTTTCAAATTTATCTTGAGCACCTTGTCAGGCGACAACCATTGACCCGTAGTTGCTTTCTCCATTAGCTCTACAACTCCCGCGATTTTGGTCCATCCGTTGTTCAACACGATTTTCATACAAATAACACATGGCTTTAAGTGCAATTGGCAATATGCCACTAGCTGCTACTAGGCGCCTAAGAAAAATACATCCCAACACTGATAGTAAAATTTGAGCCGAACATTCCCATTTCAGCAGGTAAGTACAAATATTAAATGGACAAATAAGTTGGAAGGAAAATAGAACGCACCACTTTTCTAAAATTTTCAGATTTGGTGGTGTTTTGAATAGCAAATGGTAAGCCTTGCACGTGGTGCTTTATACATGCTGTGGCCAAATTGCTTCTGAGCGCTTGCGTTTCGCACACGAAATCTGCTATGTAGGCGCCAAAAACCATCTTTTAAACACAATAGCAGAAAAGCCCTTTTTATGGGGTCGTGTTTTTTTCCCCCAACCAAATGGCAAGAAAATAACATCAGGCAAAAAATGAGTCTACTTATTTTCGTTCAAATGGCGATGGTTAGCAGGTGTGAGAAAATCGCCATCTCTTTTTGAAAGCGTGCAATAAAATGCAAATGAAAGTGGCGCCGCGGTAAAAAACATCTGGTATTGATAAATTAGATAATCAGATTTTTATTCAACAAGATTCCTCCAGTTTCTGCAGAGCCTCCATTCTTTAGTGAGGGGGGGGGGGAAATGAAGGATTCCCTTTGTTATCGCTCAAACTAAGTCAATGGAAGGAATTGAATTGATTTTATTATCTCACTTACCACAATGAGTCCCTTTCCGATGCTCTCATCAGCACCAGAATTCGCAATTTCCGAAAAGAACGGCAGTTGCAGCCAACATTCTCCAACTACTCTCCACTTGACAGCCAAGGGTGGTCTGCTACTACTTTACGAATACACTTACAACCAGTCAAACTTCATGTCACTTAATAGAACTTATAGGGCGTTGAAAAGTCACCTGTAACACACAACACAGCACATGCAGAGTATCTGTTACTAAAGCTGATATTGTATTATGGGCGAAAAAAAAACCAACTCAGCACATGAGGAATGAGAGGAAAAATGGTGTACGGGTTTTGATGGACATCCCGCCAGTCAGATAGATAGATAGAATGAAACGCACAACAAAATCCGTCCAATTTGGGTTAATGCAGATTGGAGTCAGCGAGGAGGTTTAGTTGTCAGACAAGCAGCAGAAAGCGGAGAATGAGGAAAGGGGAGGAGTAACAATGCCAATGGCGGTAATGGCTGGCATTAACAGACCACAGATGTACCATTCTCTCAAAAGTTGAAAGAAGGAACTGCTGTAAAGGAACATTGGAAGGCAGGCGATTTCAAGAAGGCTACCGATTAACAAGAAGACAAAATGCGATTGCGAAACGTTGATGTTGTCTACCTTTCTTACCAATAATTGTCATGTGGCTGTCACTTAGAGAAAACTTTTGGTATTATTATTCTCCTGTTTGTTTACCATGGTTATTAAAAAAAATCGGATGAGACTAGGGGAGAAGAGATTGAATGGGAGAACTTATTCCCTTATTTGATACGACGGTTATCTATTTGCCTACGAAAGGACAGACTGTTTAAATGCATGCAGTATGCGCAGGTTTATCACTACAAATTTCACCGAAAAAAAGAATGCTATCAGAATACTGTATTCTTAGAATAGAATAGAAAACGAAATATAATAATACTAATACAGTGGAACAGACTACAATTAAGCGAAAACGAATACTATATTAAACCGACGATGCGGTAGATTGATCGTTTGCGTTCGGAAGGGCAAAAAGTAGAATATGAAGTAAGCAAAATTTATACAATTGGAAGTTAAGAGATAGCATTTTTCATGAATTGCCATTATACTCTTCAGTCGTGTTTCAAATAAGCTCTACCCCTAATCGATCATATCAAAAGGGTAATAAACACCTCTTTTTGCAGTTCGATTAAAATAATCATATATTGGTGAAATACGATCAGCAGTGTGCTAGGATGCCAAGTAGGTGTCCGAATAGTGGGCATAAGGATTTTTTTGATTGCCGCCAATTAATGCAATTACTTAGGCATAGCCTAATTAAGTCGATGTTTTAGCAGCAAAGCGAATTAATACACACCGAGTAATGGTCAGATAAGTTAGTAGGAACAAAAACAATCAAAATATCCACAGAAATGCTAGAAGATTTCAAGCTGAGTCTATTTATTTTCTCTACATTTTCCAACCAAGAAATGCCGTTACGATCATATTCAGGTAGAAAATAATGGTGGCAAAAAATTTAAATTAAGAGAAAGCACGAATAACTGAGTTCAGAAGTCACCAATCAACTGAAGCAATGAAAACGCACCCCAAGATATGAAATACAGAGGTTTAACTAAAGTATTGATTATTTGGTTCCAAAAATTGTCTCATGAAATGGAATTTTCCGTTTAATCGCCCTGGGCGGATTTTCGGAAAACCCCAGTAATACCTTTACTTTGGATATTTGATATGGGACCAATACCCAAATTAATTGAAATGAATTTGCTGAGTCAGTGGATAGTCCTGGAAACCGTGTATGGAATGCCTTCTTAGAGATGGCATAACAAATAGCTGATTCGATTGTTGCGACACATTTGTACATCAAGGAGGCAATTCAAAAATACTTTAAGCTTTGTGATATTCTAAGAACTGCGTACTCGCTAAAAAGCGCCACAAAAACCTGTTAATCAGTAAGATAAACATCTTATTAAAGCCAGATTTAAAGAACAAAAGTAAGGTGCGATTTCAGCAACACTTTTGATGAGATTATACCGTATTTTCTATGAACATATCACTAAGCACTAGTGGAGGTGTATCGCCCGGTGTTGGCGAGCTATGTCAATCTATATTGGACAATTATTCCATTTTTGTTCTTAGCACTGAGGAAGGGTTTTATTTTCAACGACGTAGATTGGGCCTCAATGACACACCTTCTACGAACTTGTCTATTCGAAAAAAGCAAAGTCGAAGTCAAATTGAGTATGGCTTTGAAGGAAAGTATTAAAACCAACTACTCTTTAAGCAGTGTGGTGACTTATTTTCCTCGGTGGTGAAAAAAACGCTATTTCAAAATTCTCCCCAATTTATCGTCTTTGAAAGTGCAGAAGAGATGAAAAGAAAACCAATTGTAAGAAATTATCAGAAAAATCACACAAGAAAATGCAAGCTTTGAAGCTAGACGCGAACAGGAGAGAAAAATAGGGGTGGGGTGGGGTGGGGTGAGGGGGGGGGGGCGGTTCGTGCCTAATTAGACTAAGTTGGAATTTGGGGAGAGGGGGGTGGGGTGGGTGGGATGAGCAAACAGTAGCGACCAATTTTGAGAACTTAAAAATAGCCGAGAGCCGTAATCTTTCACTAGGAGAATTTTAACAAATGAATTCCGATCAACGACTGATTTGGAGAGGAAAGGTCTTATAAGAGTGGATGGAAGCAAGGATTAGATTGAGCTTCAAATGTAGAAAAAAGACTGCAAGAGCAGAATAACTTTTTATAAAGATTACTATATATATATGTATAAATACACCAATGTTATTTCAAAATATCGTTAGGAGTGGGGGAGGGGGGGGGGAGGGAGGAAGTTGAAAGCCAATGGGAAATATAACAAAAGTTAGGGAAGAAAAAAAAAGGCATCGAAACGGAGATTAGTTGACGTTGATGCTTCGTGTGTTTGAGAAAATGGAAATTTTAAACTGTGAATTAGGGGAGGCATGCTACAAAATTCGAAATACTTTTTGAATGTATCCGAATTTTGAAATATTCCTTCTTAAAAGCAGGAACAAAACAAAAAAAACAACTCGAGCATCCTTCTTGTAATTAACAGTGTATTTTTCACTTTGTAAATGCAAAAGTGATTAAATAAATAAGCAAATTAAACTCCACCAGGAAAGAGGAGAGTAGTAGTTTCACACAATTAATTAAGGAGGAAATTAGCAAAATTAGGTCTGAAGTTGTGGCGATGGAAACAATTCGGAAAAGTCAAACAAACTAACAAATTGCAGTTTAAATCAGCCGTTTGAAGAATATTTTTATGGCATGACCTTCAGGCGAGTAGTGTAACTATTTATTGTCCTTCTGATAAGCAAGTAATGATTATCGTTAATTTGAACCCAACTGAAGCGATTAGCTGCAACCGTTTATGCAATATGCTTACTTGAGACTGTTGATTTATCCTTTCCATAGGTAATCTGCCCACTTGAGAATCACCGTCAACAAGTACTATCAAGGTTCCAATATAGCTGTGCGTTGCCATAACAAAGAATTTCTAATGCTCAAACTATGAAGGCCTTACAGACAAGGTGGGAATAACGGTAACTTGGAATATACCAGAGCTGCAGGTTTCAGGAACAACTTCTCTGATTTTCACGATGCAAATGTTAAATTGAAGTGTAGGACCCCATGTCCAGATCGTACTTTTGGCATGCCCTTTTGATTTAATGAAGGTCTCTTTACTTATTTATTTACAACCTTTTACAACCTTTCTTAACGCAGAGATAGTTAAACGCAGAGGTCGAAATATATATATAAACTAGTGGAAATTTAGTCAATGGTTTTTTCAGAAAAAAATGGAATTGAGAGCCACTCTGATTAAGATACTCGAGTTCTGAGGTACTTTTAACAAAGAGCATTAAGCAACTGCGATTGGCGATTATATCGACTGCAAACATTAAGAAATGGTCTAAGAACAGACAGTATACTTACGTAGGCACGAGAGCGGATCCATTCCAACAGCTAATCGATTGGACCATTCGGTTGGAAGCAAAGATGGGTTGAATGGTCTTAGAGAAGCATAATTCTAAGCCCAGATTGTCAAAGAGATTGGCCACTTTGTTGTACTGCCAACGAAAAGAGATAGGATCAAGGACAAATTAAGGACGAGTCAAGTTCGCATATTACTCATTTTTAAAGGATTGGACAAAATACACAAGCAACTGAACATTGCCCCAAGTAAATTGGCATTTTCACATTTAATTAACTAATCAGTTCGTAGTTGCGCTAATTATTTTAGAAAACGGTGTGAAAATGAGAATTGTTGAGTTTATGTCGAATTGCAGTATGTTCCATTTGAGAGAAATGTTTGAAAAGGTCCAGCTTCAACTAATGATCAACAATTGTATATGAGAATTACTAAAAATTTCCCAGTATTTCAAAATGATCGCCATAGGCATAAAACGCAGAATCGGGTGGCATATTAATGTGGTGCTTACTTATTTTCGATTAAGAATTTTTTTACAGGTTAGTTAAGACGCTATTGAAAAATGAGAAAAAAACCCAATCAATGGGTAATCAAAACATTTCACCCTCAACAATAAATTCCCACACATACAGACGTACATATTCGCAATATATGACCATGAAATTCGACACGCCTCAGATTATCAGTGAACCGGAACGATAGAATTGTCTATAAATGAGGTAAAACACTTCTCAGAGAAATTCTAAAGTCATGTTGCAGGTAAGGGTTTGTGGTGAAAAAGGACTCCCCCACTTTAACAACACCATCATAACCATGGCCTCTGACAAGGTAGTTATGCACATTACCAGGTTCTCGCAATTGTTGTTTCGCGAAATTAGGATAAATATGAAGATCCAACCGATTATAGACAAATTATTTTTCTCACTCATATTTCCTATTCACGCAGACATAGTAACACACATTTCCAAGCAAATATTGCCGCAAAAATGCAACTTTGCATATTCAACGCCACTTAACGCGAAGCCCAAGCGAACAGTTAACAACCATTTATGCGTTTTTTTGTAAACCCACTGATTTAAAGGTAGAAAAGAACAAACATCCAGTAATATAACTAAGAATTAACAAGGTAGTCGGATGAATTCAAGTCCACGCAGGTCGAGTTCGATACGCAATACCGTCAGAATTTTAGAATTGATGAATCGTCGTTCCCTCATAAGGGAGCGGGTCTAACCACTTTTGGCTCAAGTAGGATGAATAAACAAATACGACGGGTCACCTATCTAATTTGGCTTGCCAATAATGTTATATCCAAAAAAATATTCAACTGTGACGATATCTTTTAATAAACCATCTCTGAATCCTGATTAATGTTGCAGTAAATAAATAATTATTTGTCCTTTTACATATGTAATTTGGTTTTTTTGTACTTACATGCCTTAAAGGCGTGTTCTTTGGAAGTTGTATAAAGGAAAGAGAATTAATCAAACAATGATGCTCAGTTTCCTCCTTCTCAAACACATCTACTCGGAACTCAGGAAGACGGAGCTCAAAGGATGACCCCCCCCTCCCCAATCAAGAAAATAACTCCACTTGTGCTTGACTGCCTAGATGATTTGCAGAAAAAAATCGTAGTGATCATTTTTCAGTGATGGTTTATTTTTAAATAACTAAGATGGGAGCATAGAATTTCAATAATCAGCGGCCTAACCTACAAGGGATGAAGCTAACGAGTTCCTTTTGAGATCAGTAATAGTTTGTTCAAATGGCAGGCTTTATGATAATTATCATTAGCCCTTAAACTTTGACTTCAGCTTCCCCCAAGGGTGGGTTGTACATTTATAGCAGTTAATTAATAGCAGTTCATTAGCTGTCTTCTTGCTTCCCAGTATCTCTGGCTTTCCGTCGTTGTCTTTAGGGATGAACACCGAATCAGGTGGGTCTTCCGTATTTCCCACTGTAGGTTGCATAGAGGGCATGTGGGTTGAGTGTATACTCCCAATCTGTGAAGGTGTTTTGCCAGGCAATCGTGTCCGGCGCATAGTCTAAACTCAGCAACGGCTTCGA